TACCACATTTTGAGCTCCTTGTTGTTTTCTATTTATTCTGGCTTATGACCAGCAGTAATAAATCATCAAGTCTGAGCATAATTTTCCCGTACCACCTGCTAGCTCCTTGGTCCAATCTTTGGCCCCAAGACCTTGCCTCAAAGTCTCGAACCTAAATCTTAACAAAAACAAACCCTGTCCCCACAGGCCCCAGTCATTTTCCAAAGCTACCCAAAGTCCCCTGCACTCGTAGCAAGAAACCTTTGAGAGGGATCTAAACAAATACTGCTTGCACGCCCCTCTGAAAATTTCTTTCTTAAATTAAAGGTACCCTGGATATTTATACCCATACCATTTCCACCAGTCCAGAACTGCTCAAAGGAGTCCTCTCCACAATTTCTTGGACCATTTTTCTCCTCCTGTAGCTATAAGGAACCTTCCTTGGCATCAGGCAGGCTGTCATGCCTCTTGTCAAGGTGTTCATCCAATTTTCCACATGTCACTCTCCGAAAAGCACCAACCAGACCTTATTGATGGCCGCCAACCACAAACACCAGACCCCATCCTCATTGAGGACAACATTGAATGGGAAGTGGAAGAGATTATTGAAAAAGCGAAAAGGAAGGTTGTGTACTGTGGGATGCGAACCCACAACCTCAGCATTCATGGGTGATGCTCTAGTCATTGAGCTAAGTACACATTGCTAATGTGTTGGTTTGTGGAGTACATTAGTTATGTACAGCTTGTGTGTGGTGTTTTGCCTCCAATGCTGTTAGGAAGTCTCACATGGATGTGTTAGCTAATGTCTATCAAGAAGTTCCTAGTTCGACACTTCAACACAGATCCTTGACTTTCAAATATGTGGGAAGCAGCGACAGTACTTGGTAATCTGGAAAGGATTTGGCCTGCAAGAAAACTCCTTGGAACTTGTTGGGAACCTCAAGGACTGCGATATGTTGTTCAACCAATTCAACTCTTGGTTCCCCAATTCAGTCAGCAAGCACCAAAGGAATTAATGGAAATAGAAGTAGTGGAAGGGCAAGCTTTTTTTACCAACAGCCAGGGTTTTTAACGCTGCCCAGGGAAGATGCAGGGTCCGCCAGGGACTTGGTTATAAAGGGGGATAGTGTTATGATCTTTTAAACCCCCTGGGACTTTCCAGGAGTTTTCCCAACTGGGGAATCATCCCCAGCCTCCGCTTTGTACATTCCCCAGTTAGAAATCTACTATCTCAATTACAACATGAGCCAATGTGGAACTACTCCTAGATAGAGCTTGGAAGGTAAATAGACAACTACAACTAGTAAAAGTGGAATCTGAAATACGGGTGCTGATGAGGCTCCCTTCCTGTTCAATGCTGGAGCTGGAAGAGTTACACTAAGAAAATAAAGAAAAGATGTGGCTGATTCTTAATAATTCTAGTGTATA